TTTCGTCCTCCAAGTCAGCAAGTAGCTGACGCCGTGTACGAATAAGCCGTCCAGTGAGACCGGATACAACGGAATGCATCTGCAACAGATTTAAGAGCACTATTTTGACCAACACCAAAAAAACCAAAATCTAAACAATCGTAAAAACGCAAATAGGGGAAATATATCCGGTGAAGGTATGCCTAATACAGCGTCAAAATTGTCTCCTTTTTGTGAGATATAAACGTACCGATGGAGATAAGGGTTCAGTGGCAAGCTCTTTGTGAAGAAGTTCGGCTAGTGTGAGGGCGAATGCATCACTAAGAGCGTCGCCATCAGGATCTCCGATCATAGCGACAAGTTTGTGCAACGCAATGAAACGTTGCACTGAAGCTTGCTGCTCGCGAGTCAGAGGTCTAAGTAGGCGAAATGCTGGATATCCGACCATCTATCATTACTATGTATACCTCGGCTCAACCACGGATTGCGTTGTTCTGGCATTCGATACAGCTTCCGCTAAGGTTTCGGCAAGTTTTCTAATGTTTCTCACCTAAAAGGCAGTTCGAATTTCATTGGTTATCATTAGAGCCTTTAGAATGACATTTTCAAACGACAAACCTCACTGGATGCTTCCAAAACATCGCGATATCGGCGTCCTACCATTTCACGCAACTCTTCCTTCTTCCCTTCCATTTCTGTCCTGATATGATGCGCAATTCAACAGGCCTTTTTAGCTCAGAGAAAACAAGAAATTAAGAAAATTTTCAATTATCTGTTGAACTAGCTTAAAAACGTCATAAAAGTCAGAAAATTTTCTGTTCCTGAGCAGGTAAAAAGGGTGCCCGAAAATTCAAAATGGACCGCGCCATCAGCATGACGTTCATACCGTTTCCTCACACCACGATATAAAAAGGAAACACTAACTGTAGATTCCCCTGAATATGGTGCAGCTGTTCCACTGTCAGATCTTTCATTAGTCTCTCGACATCCATGATTGCAGTTCACTAGATACAATAAACAGACTAGACGCTAAATGACTGCCACAACTGCTCCAAACTCTATCTGATTTCTACAAAAAAGCTGGTATTGTTTGCATTAAATAAAATATTTCACTAGTTAGCTTAATAAATCAATTGAAATATAATTTACATTATAACATAGGTAGTCGTGCGGTGCGACCGAAGTAGAACATGTAAACAGTAAAAAACAACTTTTTATTAGCACATGCACCGAATATTAAAAAAAGAAGAACAACGAAAAGACCATAAGCGCACTGATAACTAGAAGCTATAGATCATTAACCGTAGGTGCAGCAAAAGATAGAGTGGTAGCTATCATGCAACAGGCATCAATCAAATTGCTTAACAGCGAAGCCTTTTAGTTACTCCCTTATTTGATAAATAGAATCAAGTGATGATGTTCAAACAAAAGCGGTGACGAGATCCATATCGCCACATTTCAATCTCAAAAGAAATGAAACAATAATTA